ATTATCATAAAAACAAAAAGTTTTTTGAGAACGTCTGTTTTTTGGGTTGGCAAAAGGATCAGCGGAAAGAGTTTTTAATGTCATAATTTTAATGTGTGTCAGTATTTTAAAAACACAAAAAGCATTGCAAGTAAGTATTTTTAATAATATTTTAAATATATAATTTATATTTGTTATTTACAATTTTTTTATAGATATTAGCTATTAAATATGAATCACCATTTTCAGAAAGTCGTCGCAAATCAGGAGATAATCTCATATTACCTAGAGAAATATTTGAAATTATTATGTCTGATATTTTTTGGAACCAACTTATACATATTGTTGAAATCCTTGAATCTTATTGCAAACTACTTAATATCTTATAGTGTGATAAAGCATGACTATTTCAAGTAGTATATAGTTTAAGTTATCTTGTTCAATTTTGGCAAAAATCTTCATATAATATACTTGCGACACGATTAATTACTCGACTAAAATGACATTGGAAAGGATGGGAACAATCAATTCTCTTATTGTCTTGTTTATTATATCTTAAATATTGAATAAAAAAATTTAATAATACATGCTCCAAGATAAACTATTTAGAGTTTGGGAAATAGCTTATGTATTATTATCGGGCATGGTCAGGAAAGAAACCAACATGTATTCTTCGTGAATTTGATGATATTTGGCTAGAGAAATATCCATTTGATCATGATACATATAAACAATTTAATAGGGATGTTTGGTGCTATTAGAGCTATATAAATGTTTCAACAAATGAATTGGATTTCGTAGCCTGTAGAATTTTTGAAATATGTGTAAATGCAGCTTTTGTTGAACAGTTTTTAAGTTGGATAGGTTTTTTACAAAACAATCAGTGCAATCAGTTAATGATATGTTGTTGATTATGTTTGTATTTTTTTTATTTTTTTTAATACAATTTTGTATATTACTATTATATAGTCATCGAAAACACTTGAAATGAGTTAGTTAAAAGCTAATATTATATATAATCATTATCTTTATTCCAATTCTTCAATGATAACAATTACATCAAATAAATCATTATCTATTATTATATTAGATAATAATATAGAATCATTTAATACTGACGATCAAAATAATGATTTTGACAATTCAAACAATGCAGATGCTGAAGAGATGAACAATGTAGAAGAAGAGGATTTAGATTATAAAGCAGATAATGAAATAATGAATAAAGACTCTGGTAGTGAAACTAAACTGCAGATGGGTTTTTTGGAAAATGACTTTTATAAATATCTTCAAGGTTGGGTAAATATGTTAGAAAAGGAAAGACAAGGAACTTTTAAAGAAGAAAATGAGTCATATAAAGACGAAATTACATTATTAGATCATACATGCCATCCTGCAGTTGATGTGAATGCTAAATGGAAATTGAAAACACTTTTCAAGAAAAATCTTCCTTTATCTTTTTAGTATATACTATGTTTGTCTCAGCACAGGCATACAATACAATATTATCCTGTGTGAAGAAAATTAAGGTGGAAAATTGGTATGGAAAAGTTTGGTGGTGGAAATTTCTAATAAACATTTAAATAATAGGTGTATTTATAAATATATGCACAATTTAGTAGCATGTAAAAGAGAGATGTTTATAATTAGTTTAGAGCATATTAAGTAATAATCAATAAATAATATTTTAAAAATAAACTTACCTTGTTTTCCAGTGTGCTGTAAATACTTGTGACTTGTATTACACGACTAGACAATAGAACCAAGATTTTGCCTAAGGGAATTAATATAGGAAGGGTTCTAGGTTAGTCAATAAGAAAAGTTAAAGACCAGTTAAATCGAGAACACATCTCAAGAGTTAGAGAAACTTACCTTATTGTGAGCCAAACGTAAAGATCAGCAGTGTGGGCTTGTCAAATAGCCCATGATATTTGGTAGTGAATTGTGAGATTCGAATATCAACATATCCAAGAACAATGTTCATTATCTCCCATAAAATTTTTTTTTTGTAGGTAAATATCATTTCTTTATTTGGTTTGTATATATCAAGATATACATTGTAAAAGAAACTATATCAAGGTATACATTATGAAAGAAACAACATCTCTTATATGCAAGTACAATGAGTTAAATGTTAGCTTGCCTACAGTAACCATTTGATTAATATTGAAAAAAAAATTTAAAACAATATATCTTGTCAAAAGGTACCAAGCAGCTATGAATACCTACTTAGTATTAAGGGAAGAGGTGTTGGGTAATAAAAATATTAATTTCTAAATGCATTTAGGATAATTATATTTACAATGAATAAATATATTGGCAACTATGTTAGGTAGATCAATTATAATTTCTTCAGGAGAGGTAATGGTTGGTTGAATTTCGGCTTGAGAATCGTGATTGTTGGATGGTTTATGAGAGGGAGATGATGTGAAAGATTTGTCGAAGTTCTATTTAATTCCGGTAGATGGTGACGTGTTGGCTATGGAGCAGCGTGATTTTCAAATAAGGTTGTATAACTGGGTTATGGCTTCATTAGCTGCCTCGATCCAGTTGGAGAAGTCTGTTAGGAAGAAGATTTTATCTGTAAAGCCGCAGGATAATTCAGCTACTTGCCATATGTCTGAAATTGGTGTTTGGTTATTGTTTAGGTGGAAAATTTGATTAATGTTTTTGACTATTTGGTTAGCTTCAGTGGAGGTCTCAAGGCATTTGAAGATGTAGTGGATGTTTTCAGTATGAAGTTCACACCTTGGGCACCAAGCATCTGGATACTAATTGGAATATAGCTGGTAAAGGGTTTTGCAAGTGGGCAGAGTGCCTGAGAGTAGTTTGATTCTAAATGCGATTATGTAGCTGTAGCTATTGTTATGCAATTTTTTGATGTTCTTGTTAGATTTGATGATAACTTTTAAACTGTGTGGAGTGTACTTCCGTCCAAAAGTTTGAGTGATAGAAGAACTTTCATATATCATATAGTCCCTGATAATACTAAAAATTTTTTTGTACCACTTAATACTACTGCCGAGGCATGTGTTATTGATTAGTAGATTTTCTGAAAAGTGTGGTAGGGGATTGTTCCACTGAAAGGATCTGGTTGACAGTGGTTTGGATTTGGGCTTGGTATATATTATCTGTATTGATTTTTGTTATGTTTGGTGAATTATTCTTTGGATTAGTGCAGAGAAGTTGATCTTTACCATTCTTCTAGGGTATTTGGGAATTGGTTGAAGAATTTTTTTGTTGTTTCTGATTTCAATAATATTGCATTGCTGATTCCATTGGACAATATCAAATATTGCGAATAGAATGTTGCCTGGTAACAAGCAGAGATTTAATAGTTTGACTCTGGTATCATTTATGATTAGATTATTTTTATAAAGCTGTATATGAGTGTGCTGCTGTAGGTTAAGTTCTTGTGAAAGGGTTTGTAAAAGAGGAGTGGTAGGAATGTTGACTTCTTGTAGAATAAGTTCATTGTTCTGTGGTGTGATAGAGATTTCATCTATTATACTAAGTAGGCGGTATTTTTAATCACTGAATGGATTAGTTTGAACCCATAATGTTGAAGCCACTGCATTTGTAAACTCTAGCCAACAGAATCCTTGAGAGAGTGAACCAGCCAAACATCCTGAACATCTAATCAAGATGTTGCTGGGATTTATTATAAAGTGCTTTCCTTTAAGTGAAGTATTTTCGTGTATTGCTTGATATCTTTTGTGAATTTTTGCTATTGCATTGATATTATAAATAAGCCAAAATGTTGACTTGGAATTTGGTATTGGATCGTGAAATCCTCTTAGATTTCTGATATTTGTGAATATTTTGAACCGATTAGGCTCTGGACCGGAATGGACTATACCAGTATGAGTGGCGAGCTGTGGCTATGTGAGTTTGATGAAGCTTTGAAATTTTAATAGTTGATTAATGAATTTTATACTGAGGGCATTTGTCATGCTAATTGCTGTCTTTTTGAGTTGGGGTTGGAGAGTGGCGAACAGAAGACCAATCGAGTTTTCGGCATTGTTAAGATGGAATAAACATTCTGTAGGACAAATTTGAATTTTAAGGTCTTTGGCTGACCCCATAAAATTTTACAAACGCAATTAATTAATTGACTAATTAGAAAAATGACATCATTTTCAAACAATACCTTACCTTTTTGAGTCACCTATGACAAACCCGTGTCAAACATGTGATCAGATCCTTTTAAAAAAAAAATAGTTAGATTTTGATTTGTGTGACAACAAAAGTAATTCCAATAGTTACCAAACTTACTGTTGTCTGCAGAAGCTCTCATTGATCTCGTGGATCCAAATATAGAAATGGTAAAGAGGAAACATGACAACTAGGATCCGCAAGTTTAAGGAAGAAAGAGAAGAAGATCTGTACTTATAGCTGGAGTGATACAAGAAGGTTGCAAAAATCAATAGATAGACGAGTGATCAAAAACGGAGATGGATATTAATTATCTGAAGGGACGTGTAACGAACTGGTACAAAATCTGTCAAAATCACTTTAACTATTGGAACAATAGGAATAACCACAGAAAAGTTTTGTGCCAGCCTTCCTCTGATGCTTTGTGATACTTGAGCAGTGACAGCAGTGGCTGTCAGAACTCACAAAACTAAAGCAAGGCAATATGTCTGATGATTTTGGGATCTGCTAAGAAGAGTGTACTCTGATGATATCAACCCTGGAAGGGATAAGGTGAAAGCGTTTTGTAGAAAGGTTAAAAAAAAAGATTGTGACAGTACTCACTATCAGGAAAGACGCCACATTGGACGAGACGATTGAAGAAGCAAACCGAGTCGAAGGAAATATGGAGTTTGGGCTGTACTAAACAAATACGAAACTAACGACAAGCTTACATTAACAAAGGAACAAGGTAAGATTGTACTAAAAGGAAAACCGACGACACTATCTAATAGAAGCCACAAGAAAATCAATACCATGGATGAGCCAACCAGTGAGCCTGGGCTCACCACTACTGTCCATTTGTCTCCATCCCAAACCATGTTATGAATACATCATGACCAAAGGAATCGCTATCACCAACAAGAAGCAAAAATATCTCAAGCTTTATCACGGATAAGTCACAGTCAGAGGAATCACTGTTACTGACAGAAGAAATCAAGAGGGAAACAGGGAAAAGACTTATGGGTAAAGGGATGAAGGTGAAAAAACAAGATGATGACATGAGAGAGACGAACAAACTACCTAATGGAAAACTGGAGAGAGTGAGCAATAAATCTGAACCTATCGTTACTGTCCAATCGGTTGCCCCGAACTGTACCACAGACGGCCACATCATGACCAAAGGAATCAGTATTACCAACAGGAAACAAAGGTGAGACAATAATAAAGAAACAAAATGTTGTCATAATGATAACGACAAATAAAAAAAACATGCAAAAGGGATCCACAGAGATATTGCAATACACCACCGGCATCAGTGATGTTACCCCGATCAAACGAGAAAAGTACAAAGTTGATTAAAATGTGGGGGAGCTGATTATAAAAAGAACGACATGCATAAACATGAGAAATATATAACAAATCATACAACTTACCTGGGATGTATTAACAACTCATGAGTGTACTTTGTTGTGATCTCGTGATGAATCTCGGCATCAACATTTTATCCGAAAAAAAGATTAGAGAAATCAGAGTCTCTCATCTATCATGTGATCATATGACACCAATAAGACTCTGCCAACCAATACCTCACCATCACTAATAATCGCAAAATATATCAATCAAATATTGGGAAATCAGATCTCAAATTTAATCTAAATGTATAAGTAAAATCAATACAGGCATGCGACATGATATCACGTTACATCATAATCTGTGGGAAAATTAAGGTGGAAATTAGTGTGGGAAAGTTAGTGGTAAAAATTTCTAGAATAGCGTAGTATGATAAACAGATATAAATGTGTAAATAATAAGTACATGTATAAATACATGTGCAATTCAGTAGCATGTAAAAGAGAAAAGTTTAGAATTATTTTAGAGTGCATTAAGTAATAAACAATAAAGTAACGTTTTAGAAATAAACTCTTATCTTGTTTTCTAATGTGCCATAAATACTTGACTTGTATTACACGACTAAACAATAGAACCGAGGTTTTGTCTAAGGGAATCGGTATGTAACAATTTTTCCGCTTTTACTGCGCCACATGCCATGTGACCGGAAACCCCTGGGACACCCTGGAATACCCCGGAATACTGCAGAACATCCCGGAACTTCTTGGAACCTTGTGGAACACCCCGGAACCTCCCGGAATATCATGGAACTTTCCGGAATATT